GCGATATCGCGGTTTCGCAGAACCGTGGCTACGACGTCGCGTCGGTTGAAATTTCGCGATAAAGCACACACACACACACACACACACATATATATATATATATAGGAAAACGTGTTTCATATCATTATTGAATATTAAATACTTTATCATTAGCGTTATAATTTTCACTATGAACTTATAATTATTTAAACGTGAATACAAATAATAATCATACTTATTTACCGTCTGCATATTTTTTGAGTGAATTATAACTTAATAAAAGTACAAGTTTATAAAAATGAATGTATCTTTATATACAAATTAAAAATTAATGTGATAGATAAGTCATATTTAACTACCTATCAGTTTGTTTTATATGTATCTTGTAATTAATTGAAACTATATGGTTTTGACAATTTTATTTAAAATCAAATTTTTAAATCTATATATTGCAATATTATGCTGTATTGTATTTTAAAATTGTTCTATAAATAATTTTGAAAACATATAACAGATGTATTATGTTCTTAATAACATATTTGTGATCTTCGATATATATTTTGTTACATAAAGTAATTATAATTTTTTCTTTTTAGTAACTCTGTATTACAAGGTTACTTTACAAATGATTGTTAAAGAAATAATTTATAATTCATGTAAATGCTGTGCAAAATAAAATTTCTAGGAAGATAAAATATAAATGAAATTACTGTAACTATACATTAGATCGGATACAGAATTTCTTACTATCTCTTTTAGCGTAATCTAAAAACAAAAACATGAGATTATTGTAAAAAAAGAGGTCCAGTGCTTTTTTGTGAATACAAATGTCTAGTTATATTCCGTAAACTGTATAAGAAAACACTTCCAGAAAAAAATAAGCAAAATTTCATAACGTTGGGCCCGATTGTTATTGAAAAATTATATATGTCTTAATACTATTGATAAGATTTGAATCATCCAATGGCTTGTTCGGTCATTTTACATCGATGTAATTATGAAATAGCTTATTAATGGAATTTTGTATAAACATAAAAAAAGATGTTGATGAATCATTAGCTAATTTTAATGGAAGTTCTGATGGAGAGTTTTAATATAAATTAAAACTATCCCAAACGCAGTACATGGTAAACTTATATCAGAAATCATTTTAAAATATGTACCGAGAAGAAAATCGTAGTATTATCATGTTAAAATATCGCTATTTTATTTGACTTTTTGTAAAAATAATATAATAGAAGGCTTTGCCATTTGTAATAAAATTATAAACGATTTAAAAAATAAATCATAGAAATTAATCTTCTCATAAATTACCTTATACTGCGTTTCCTTTGTATCACATTAAAAAACTTATTTTTGTGTAATCATTCGTAGATTTATCAAGATTGTAAATAGAATAAGATTCCATACTTGTAATAAAATAAAAAAAAAAAATCAAATTATGTGTTATGCATGATACATCAATTATAATTATTTACATTTTATTTACAAGATAAAATATTAGATTATAAAATTACTTATGCTTTTACAATTATGATTGAAATGATGATACATTTGTACAATACTTATTTGAATATGATATTTCATAAACATTTTGTTACAAGATCTTTTTATGTCATAAAAATATTTTATAATTATTTCATGTCACTAAAAGGATACCTTCTTAAGTATTATTTATGAACATTTTTTTACTGTCTTAATTTTTCTACATGTTCCATTTTTATATCGATTTCGTGAAGTAAAGATTTCGCGAAGTTTTTAGCATTAGCTTCCTTATTCAGAAAATCAGATACTAGTTTAGAAGGAGGCTTACCACCTCCATGTTCTAAGCATTCTTTTCGATATCGATTACCAGCCGTACGATTAAAAGGATCTGCTTCAAAATATGTTTGCCATATCCAAGAAGCAATTGCTCGAGATACTAAATAAGAGTAATATTTTGCACCATATCCAACTAAATGGGAAAACCTTAATTGCCAAGCCTGCAAAAAATATTTTCAATTTGTAATTTCCGACTTATAAATAATAAAAATGTTTTTATAGTCAAAATTTAAAAAATCTATATACTGTATTTTCGACATAAGGTAGTTCATAATATTTTCCTTGTATTTCTTTTAATATTTCAGTTGATGACTTTTCTAATTGCCCACTGTGATAAACTTGATCTAACATGCTATAATATATCTGATTTTGTAATTCAGATGCACAAAAAATGTTCTTTGAGGCATACAATTTATCTAATAATATCATTGGTATTTGTTCCAAAGTTTGAAAATGTTTAGCAAATGTTGATACAACCTAATAATATATAGTAAACAATTAATAAAATAACATTTATTGTATAATTATTTCAATTGTAAAACTTGTAATCATAACATACTCTTGGATCACTTGCAAAATATTCCATTAAAACACTTGGAACCTCTGCAAAATCTGTGCTGCACCTGGTTCCAGTTACATGTTGATATTTTGTCCTACCTAACATAGAATGTAATGCATGACCCATTTCATGAAACAAATTTTCTACAGAAGCAGGAGTAAGTAAACATGGCTTAGACCATGTTGGAACAGGTAATGATAACATCAATACTACTATAGGATTCTGAAATCAAATGTTTAAATAATGGTTAAAGTTTTATTAAATTAGTATTTTGTATTTTAGATATTTCTTAATTATTTAAATCATACTTGATAAGACCCATCTGATAATTGCCTTCCACCTCTAATAGTAAAATGACAATCTTGATTAGGTTTTCCTTTTCTTTCAAAGAAATCACAATATATATAACCCAAAATCATCTCATTTTCATCTATTACAGCAATTTTATGTACATTATTTGCCCAAACTTCACCAGATAAAACTGGGACATACTCCAATCGAATACCATATAATGCTTGTATTAGTATATTAATACCATCCATACAAGCACCAAGAGAAAAGTATGGTGCAAATTCAGTTATGGTCATATTTAACCAATTTTTCTTTGCTTTTGCTGTAAAATAAGCTGTATCCCATGGCATTATTTCCTAAACATGAAAAACAAAAATTAACATAACTTCTTACAATGTAATAAATACAAGTGGTATCTGCTTAAGTATCCACTGATAAGGAACTAACTGTTCTAGGAATTAGCCAGCTCACATTAGTAGCTCACAGTGCCATACATGAATAAGTAAGAATGAGAAATTGGATATCTCTTGTATTCTCTATTATTCTTTATCTATATATATATATATATATATAAGAGTTCTAGGAAATGGTAGGGCAATAGACATTTATGCAGACATCACTGTAATATTATAAATAATATATATAATAAAATTGGTAAACCTGTTTTATAGGTGATTCAACATCTTTCATTTTTTGCATTTCATTAAAATCTTGTCTTGCTTTAAGTTTTAAATTATCATTTAAAATATTAAGAAATTCGTATATTACTTCTGGTGTTTCTACAGTACTTCCTTTGACAGCTCTATAAATTATTCACATGTAATATCATTTAAATACAGTTACTACATATTAATTTTAATTAATTTCAATTTTATCAATAAATGTTTAACATCTACCGATGAGCGTAAGACGAGAATCCACAAAGTGTAGCCAAAGTATGCCTACAGTTTAAAAGTTCTTGTAAAAGATATTCTTGTTGGTCATCGGGATATAAAAATATACGATATGCTGTTTCTCTAAGTAGATAACTAGAAGAATCTATATAAAGTCCTTGAACATATACTTTATTATCTTTTTCTGTAAAACTGTGAAACATTCTTAAAAAATTTTTATCAAATCTTATATTTTAAAATATGTTATTTCAAAAATTACTTGATTGTAATACTTACTATTGTCTTATATTAGGTGGCACAATATTAGCATCTACTGCTCTTGCATTAGTAGTACCTGCCATAAATTTTTGTCCTACCTATATTAAAAAAAATAATAAGTTTATAAATATTAATATAAATATGTAAATTAATATATGGATAAATAAAATACATACTTGTAATATGTAATAATTTAACTGTACAACATTTTCCCTTATAGATTCTGGTAAATGAATAGCACATAATTCAAAATCGGACAAGAATAATGTTGCAACATGTTTATCCACCACAGATGTTTCTTGAATATCTCCATTATGTACCACATGCTTTAAGGCATGGTATAATTCACGATGTGTGTTTAATCTAAACAAATTTTTAAGTAATTTTTATGCTACTTCGTATAGATAATATAAATAATGGTTAATTGTTTAAT